TGGTAATACGTGGTGAATAATACGTGGTGAATTCCGCACTATTTACTTGTTAATAGCTCTCTGGTGGCAGTTTTGTTGAGACCTGCAGAATTTGAGCAATAGTAAGTAGTTGTGAAAATTAACATGCATATGTGGATTTGGGATGTATGAAGTTTCCAGTGCAAAATGTAACTTGTCTTGAGTAATACTGAATCTTTTGATGTGAAATCATAAAATCAAGCAGGGGGGAGCCAACTATGCAGCATTTTTCTGTCCAGTTATCAAACTTACAATTCACTTCTTGAACCAAAACTGCATTGCTTCTGAAACTTAACAAAGCTGATCCAGACCAACAGCAGATCAGACCAACTTAATCTGACATAGGTAGAATAAATGGGAATTTTGTCTTGGCCCTAAACATGTGCTGTTTCTTTGCAGGTTTCTGTATTCTTTGATGTCCACCAGATTTTTTTTCAATTAATGTGTAAAACAGCATCACTACATTTTAAGCTATGGATTTTTTTGTATGTTCTTTATTTATAACTGTGCCAAGTATTATTTTAATACTGTCAAGATCTTGATGTATTACATTGTGAACAAAAAACTCTGTAAAATGTTTAATAAATTAGCTCTCCTTACATAAATTAAATCTGTTAAATTTTGTAAGTTATTAATCAAATAAATATTGACTCTTAGATGCAGTGTTTGTCTTGACTTGGGATGTGATTTCACACAGCGTTGTTTCTGCCCAACTTCAGAAGCCGTACCATGAGAAAGTAGCTGCTATCTTGCGTCTTACTTTAGTGTAGTCTTTCTGGAAAGATTTACGGGTGTCTTAAAGATAGCATGCACCCAATTCTGTGCTGATGTGAAATCCTGTGAACTACTACACTGGGTTTTGGTGAAGTACACCTTTGTACTACCAATTGGAGTTACCATTCACTAATTAGATACCCCTTTCTTTTGAACAAAGCATGCTGGCAAGGTAATGTTTCTTAAGGGAGAATTCCTTCTAGGGAACGTTTTGGGTGGCCGAATGTACGTATTTAATGACATTTGAGGTATTCTAAGGGTAATGGAGACATCCACGTAGGGCTAGTAGGTATGACCAAAATGTGTGCTTCTAGGCGGCACTTGCAGGAGACAGAATACCTTGACTCTTCTGGTCCTTGCTAAAGGTTAGATTTTGAGTAGAAACAAGGTAACCATCCAAGCTGGAATTTAATTGGGATATTTGTAATCAGCAATGCATATTAAAGTATAAGGCTAGGACTTAAGAGCACACCTAATGGGGAGAAAAAACTCTGTGTTTTTTGCTGGGTGTGGGTTCAATATTGACATTAATTGAGAATTGTTGCTGCTGTTCTCCCCTTCCCCAAGCAATGGTTCTGGTGAGGCTGGGCCCAAGCTCGCCTCTGCCGACCACCCTTTGACTTGTCTGGTAAAGATCAGGGAAGGTGCTTTCTTTTGTAAAAAAGACATTCTGCGCAGATCTCCATCAGCGATTTGCAGTGCTCCATCAGAGCAGTTGCTGCTCGTGGGAGGTATGGGTGGGCTCCTGACGACTTGAAAGCTGGTTACTTGGTTTGTTTTATTTGGGAAGAAGCCTGCCCTCTGCACCCTCATTATGGCTTGATTAGAGTTCACTCCCTCGCATCTCCCATGAGCTGCCTTTAAGTAAAATCGGATATTTTTGCTATGAAACCAATGTTTACTTGTGAACGCTTGCATTTGCATTTTATCCACCTTAGGCTACTGAATGGAGATCAGTAAAAGTTGCACCTACTAAGTCCAGGTTGAATTTATTTGCAGTATCTTAGAAACTTAGTGCCGTATCATATAAACTTAGTGCCATATGCACATTGCCTCCAATCCTACATACTACTTCAGATCTCCAGATCATGAAGTCAAAGCACTTTTGAGAACCAATCCTTCCTGGAATTAGGGCTCCAAACTGAGACTAACTCGAAGCATTGCTCCAGCCTGGGCTGAGCTTTTATTCATCAGTGCTTTGCTGCAGCCGAAAAGTTGACAGTAACCAAGTGAAAGCACTTCAGTGTAGGGCACTCATTTCTCTTGACAAACATATTGTCTTTATGGTTACAAGTTCTCTTTTTTCCTTCATTTCTTTGTTTTTCTGTCGTTAAATAAGTTGTTTGGATGTAGAGCAGTGTGGAGCTGTTAGTTACCGCTATGACTCCCTCCAGGAAATGAAAGGAAAGCCCTTGATTTTTAGCAGTTTAAATCACTTCTGATCGCTGCTTCTGCTCATTTTTCTAAGAATCGAAAGCTCTTTTTTACAGGTAAATGAACAATGTTAGACGCCCATTTTTGTCAGCATAAATCGCGCCTGCCAGCTGTGCTAATGTGGCAAGTTTAAATCAACTACAGTAGCTACCAACTAATGGGGAGCAGTTTCATCTGCTCAGTAGCGTGTCGAGCATTATTTTGCTTTCTGTCTATCGAACGGTGCCGCTCAGCATTTTATAATGCTGTTCCTGAGAAGAGGAAGCACTTTCATCAGGTAACGAGGCTATGGAAAGGGGATGTTGTCCTCGGCTGCTGGGGCCTGAATACCGCTTCTAAGTTAGAGCTGTCCTTGCTCAGGTTGGAAGAGTCGGAGGGGATCAACCCTTCCTGCACACGTGTCAAGTTGGCAAAGGAGAAAAGTGCTTTTTATATATATATATATATATATATATATATATATATATATATATATATATATATATATATATATATATATATATATATATATATATATATATATATATATATATATATATATATATATATATATATATATATATATATATATATATATATATATATATATATATATATATATATATATATATATATATATATATATTTTTTTTTTTTAGGAGAAAAGTACTAGGATCATCAGTATGAGTAGCAGGACCAAAGGTCACTACCCAGGTTTCCTGGGCTGTGCTGTTTCTTTCTGTCTCGCTCCCACCTGAAATATGTGCTGCTTCTGCCTTACTGTTGTCTTTTTCAGTTGTAATCTTTCCCTCTCTGTGAACTGCACAAGCTCTTGGCTCACATTTTGAGCCGGCTGTCTGTTCTTCCTCATATCCACATTGTTCCTTTGTAACCTGTATAAAATGCTCTTTGTGTGTTATTTTGACTAGTACGTATTTTTCTAATTAGGCTTTTGGCTTACACTGCTTCGCTGCCTCAGACCGCAGTCGTAGATGTTACTTGAAACTGCCTGAGACCACGCTGACACATTTGCTTACCATTTTATTGTAGCATTCCCAGTCCTGAATGTGTCTCCATAAATTCACTCTGTGAAGGTTTGTTTTTTTTTTTCCCCCAAAAAGTATCAGCCTGCTCTGAACTCAGAGTTTCAAATCTCATCTTTTCTTTAACTAACTTCTGTTGGGCACGATGAGAGTTGAAACCGAATCTCCCCCTCCACCCCAGAACACCACGTGGGTCGTAGCCACTGGGATGGAGCTCATGCCTCCCCACAGGTGTGGCTGGCCTCTAGCCTCCACCCAGAACACCACGTGGGATGGAGCTCATGCCTCCCCACAGGTGTGGCTGGCCTCTAGCGAAGCCCTTGCTGTGCAATAGCATGCCCTTCACTGGAAGGGATGGAAAAACACTCCTCCAACTGCCTGGTACCTGCTGAGGCTCAGGCATGCTCTTCTGAGGCACAGTTTGCGCTTTTAAGAGGCATTGATGCCCAGATTTCATGTGCCTCCTTACTGTAGGCAACAGGAAGCCATTAGCTTTGCAAAAGGAGCTTGGCAGAGGAGCCTGAGCACACCGGTGAAGGCCTGTTTCAGGTGCTCAAGAAACTTAGGACTAGATTTAAAAAAAAACAAATAGTAAAAATTGCGAAGCTGCTCATACTAAATGTTGGTTACTTGCAGAAAAATAAGGCAAGTTGCCTTAAACTGGGTGATTTTTGCACAACTGTTTTAAGTACCTCATTCTCACATGAGACCTTTGTGGTGGGCTGGTCCTGGGTCTTCTGTTGAGTAGGTGACTGCCATTTGCTTCACAAGAAGTGCAATTGCAGGTGCTATCAGCTCAGGCCTTGCAGGCTTGTGTTGGGAGCTGCTCCAGCCCCTAAAGGAAGCCAAGCTCTTCTGTGAGCTTTCCACTCAAGATCTGGCTAAGGCAAAAGTAATTGTCTCCTAATTGTAGACCTTTATTAGCAGCAGTTCCTAAAGAGTTACGTTAGCAGGGCCAAGGCCCCTGACTACTACAGCTTTCACCCAACTGGTGTGTTTGCACAGAGTAGATCTACACTGCATTTGATGTGTTTAACTGCTATTACTCCTTGCCCATCAACTTGAGGTCAAGTCACGTTTTTCTACCAGAGTGTTTAAAGACAGAATTTCATTCTGCTCTGTTGTTGCGCTGCAGCTACCTTGTCAGATGCCGTCCTCAAAGGGCTGAAATCTTCCACCATCTTCAGGGAACTAAGGGTCCTAGCACAAGGTCAAAAGCTGCTTTTAAACCTGAGTTTCATGTGGTAGTCCAGAGCTTGCTCAGCTGCTGAGTAGGGATGGTATTAATCTGCAGCTGTCTTCGTAGAGTACTCTTTCTGCACAGTAAGTCTTGTGTGTGATAACACCTCAATACCGAAGCAGGTGCTATCCCACAAAATATTACGGTGAAAAAGGTTTGTTTTCCATTCGCTAGAGACTCTACGGCAGAGACAGCCACCCATTCAGGCACACGGCTCCTTATAATCTATCACTTTCAGAGCCGTGTCACTGCACAGAGCAGTAGATTAGGATTCCCTACTTCCGTGCAGTGAGCAGCTAGTTGCCTTGCACATGCACATAACGGCGCGATACCGGAGGACAGTCTTTCACCTCTGAAGGCGATGACCAGTGCTATGTATGCCCAGCTTTCAGCCACGTTGGGCTTTCAGTGAAGGTCTGCACCAAGTCTATAGCATCGTATCTCCACCCCTCAAGTACCCCAACAACACTCCCCGTACTTACTTTTATTGCTCAGAGCATGTAACGCTTGGCTTTAGGATATATCAACAAGCAAAGCTTTATTGAATTGATATTCAGTATTAAAAGTGTTACAGTGTGATACACAAAGCAAGGAAAAAAAGCAGTGCTTTTTTTTAAAAAAAAAAAAATCATCTGCTGAACGTATGCCCAAGCACTACAGTAACTAGTATCTGTTTCACAGTAGTTAGTTAGTAACATTTAGGAAACTCTCTTGTTTCTTGTAGCAGGATCTCAGCAGAGCCCTAAGGGATTTGAGCCCTGCCTCCTCACTGGGCGTGAACGAGGGCACCAGCTCCCTGGCCATACCCAAATCCCTTGGGGCCAAAGTTCTTCGCGTAACAACCTGCAAGAGAGACGAACGTGCAGTCGCTGAGGCTTCTGGCTCGTTAATAAGAACAGCACTGTCTAGGCTAAGCCCCTCAGCCGCTTCCCCTCAGTCACCAGAACAACCCCGTCGGAAGCAAAGCTTAAAACCATTTTGTTAAGTTGCCTAACTGCCGTGACCGAACTCAACAGCCATGGCTGTTCGGTCCGTGTAGCTCCCAACCTACTCTGTGAAAGCAATTCATACATTGGTTCTGTGGCTAGGTATCCGTTAAGACATATGTTGTCATCAAGCCGCTGTGTGGATCAAGTTTATTTCCATGATACCACGCAAGAAGGCACGGCTGGATGCTTACTAGCTTGTGTCCTTACTCTGATCTGCTCTCGGACCCAGGCAGAGGGCACGGGCTGCTGCTGCATTTCTCAGTATGCAATGTTTTGCTTGATGCAGATGTAAGCTACATCAGCAGCTTCAGTAATATTTATTTTGTTTCTCAGCTCTATTCCTATGACTTATAGAGCACTTCCATCTTGACAGGAGCCTGGAAGTTTCTTATACCAGGAATAAATTCAGCACCTGCCCTTGTAACACATTACCTTGAACCATAAACAAGTGATCTTTGTTTCTTTCCTCACCTTTACAATAGATTTCTCCCTCTTTTTCAGTTAGGGTTGTAGATTCTAGGCTTTTTCCACACTTGGCACATCGGAAGCAGTTTTTGTGCCACGGCTGGGGGGGGGGGAGAAAAAAAAAAGATAGTTTAAATTCACAGAATGCCTGAGTTAGTTAAAAAAAGCATTAACTGGAGATGCCTGCATCAGTATTGTTTATAGATGACTGGTGCAATAAAAAACAGTTCAAGTGCACCAGTAGCAGGCAAGAGCATCTGCATTCCTGCGAGTGGCCCAAAGCCCCAGATTCCACACAGCGTCCTGCTCAAGGCAGCATTTTGAAAGGTTTGGGCTTGCTCTAATCAATTCAGGGCAGATCTTCGCCCTCTGTAGTGAGTCAGACAGCTGGCAGACTGACGCATAGTTTTACATGGTATTTTCAGAGAACATCCCCTTTCCGCTGGAACATTCGGCCTCCATCATAAGCTGCACACCACAAGACTGTTCCCTCTTCTGGGGGGACAGCGCTCCTGTAGCCTGCGTCAAGTCTCTGGCACGAGACGATACTGAAGCTTCACCTCTGAAATCCAAGGCGAGCACTCATCACCCTGCATTTCAAGTGCTTTTTGTTCAATTAAGTTGATTGATTTGACTATTTCCAATGCTAAGAAATGCAATTTTAAGGTAAGCCTGCCCCACAGTTTGTTCCCTACTGGAACGCACGTAGCATACCTTGCTCACTTTAAAGTCCATGTAGCAGGTACAAAACGGCACACGCAGTTCCTTACCTTTCCAGCTCCTATTACTTTCTCTGCCGCATAAACAGAATCGCCACACCTGGAGCATTTCTCTGCCCCTCCGAACTTCTGAGCGAACTTTGAAGTGTTTGGATTTGTTGTGGGTCGGTGGGGAGAGGGCGTGCTGAAAGAAACGGGACATTTGTTGTCTTCACTCTTTGACTAAATGAGCTCTTGCTCTTCTTAACAACACTAACAGAGCAGCATCCGACACACAGTACAGAATACAGTACTTTTGCAAAACTGGAGAAGTAAGTTACCAGCAAGGCTATCCAATTACACCTGGGGGGCGGGGAACCAAACCCAAAAAACACACCAGGAAGAGAAAGGCCATGCTCCAAAGGATAAAAAGGACCTACTGTAAAAGCTAGTTTTCTGAGGAGCCTTCACCTTTTCACTTCTCTAGAAATGCTGAATTCTGTACGAGGACGTGGATTTATCAGACAGTAAGCTACAAGTAATTCTGTTAAATTCCTGTTCACTGATCATAATCTGGAACCTGAACTGATCACTGAACCTGGCTGGAGAGCATACGTCAGATAAATGTCAAGCAGTAATTTGGGAACTTGCATGAAGCAAGTTGTGAGGCATTCCTCAGCTTCTTTCCACACACTCTACGTTACAGCAAGAACTTAATCAGACTAGGAATGTTTACTATTTAATAGGCCTTTTGGTTTTGGCTATAATTAAGCACAAATGGTTCTTCATTTGCCAGTTAAAAATTCATTATTCTTGTAGCCCCAGATTCTCAGCTCTCCGAATCCATCCCTGCCAGAACCTGTTGAACATTTGCATTTGCAGCTTATTTAGGGGAGCGACTCGAGACCCACAGTCCCCTCTGCGGGCTCGTGCAGAGCCATCAGCACCTCCGTAATCCAGTCCCCTATGGCTCATGCATAGGGTTAGTGCATCTTTACCTGCACTAACTCCTGCCCTTACTGTGCCTGCTCACATAGTCACCAGTGGAAGCTTTGTGCACTGCAGGTTAAACGCCCTGCATTTGGTTATACTGGGGTATTTTGCAGCATTTCTATTCCAGACAACATGAACTAAACAAAATCCAGCCTGAAAGACTCCTCTGAAAACAGTACTGAAGGACAAGGGTCACACACCCCCCAGCTCAGTTCACTCACCTCTCAGGCTTGATGCCTAGTCTCTCTCCCCTGTCCATGTTCAGCGTGCCTGCCCCTTGGCCATATCCGTAACCTTTCGGGCCATACTTTTTCCCATAGCAAGATTTGCAGTAAACTTCAGCATCATGAATCGCTACAGTTGTGCTGTCCAAGTTTTTCCGGCAGACCACTGGAGAAAAAAAGAAAAAAAAAAACTTAAACTGCCTTAAGGGACCGTTTCCATCAGCACACGTAGTAAGCCAAAAATCAAGTGAGAAGTGATGTTATGGCTTTCCTTGTCCACAGTTCTTCTAGGTTGTGGGACCACCAGAGATTAGTGGGAGCAGGTTGTCGTTTGAATTAGTGAATTATGCTTAGCCCTATACAGGGCTCTATTCCCTCCCACCTCTTCATGACCGTGACATTTAAAGCCTGGAAACTTGCTGTGGTTTGATGAATGAGGCTGCTCAGAAACCCAGATAGTGCAGTCAGCAGTTTCCCTTTACGGATGCCATACAGCACGAAGCAAAAGTCTGTCAGTGCAGAAGAGCCCCTGTCCTGCCCTTTTGGCCAGGGTGGGGCTGGGAAAAAAAAAACCTTCAAGGTTTTCCCCCTGCCTCGGTACTGGTTTGGGGCAGAGTTGGGACTGTTTCACAGCTGTCACCGGAGGGGCTGTGCTTTTCTGGCATTCCTACATTGTCCTTCAGCACAATGCAAGCACTCTGCTCAAGGTTACAGCAGAAGGCAGAACTATTTCCTTCTTAAACCTTCTTTTGTATCCCAACTGGCACGCTCTTTCCATCTGCAACAGCATTATGACTGTGATAAAGAATTTGGGGAGGAAAAAAAAAGAAAGAAAAAGCCTTATGAATTTTTTGTTTAAAAAGAATTTTAAGGTCTTCAAAATACAGGGTGACCTTTGCTTATGGCATTCACTAGCTCCAAGGCTCTTTTTATAAGACACAAATATCCAATAAGTAAATCAACTAATGCATGTTTGTTAAGTCTACAGACCTTAACCCCAACAGAACTATGCACTAAGGAAAAGCAAATACTCAGACACACTAGAGCCATTGTTTGACTGTAAGTTCCAGGTTTCTTTTAATAGAAACTCCCATAAAAGGCTGAAAATGAGGCAGCCAAGACATCTAATCTTTTTTTTGTGACTGCTATAGAGGTAAGGGAAAGGAGTGCAGGTGCACCGAGGCTCACATGCCAGCACAGCGCGCGGACGTTTTGCTGCAGACTAACAGCAAACTAGTTTGAGAGGGCCAGTTGTAACTGTGGCTTACATGAAGAGGGCTAAAGCATAGCTCTGCCCATAGGTATTAAACACCAGCAAGCAGGACAAAACAGTACCTCATGTTTGTAACAAGGTAAAATTCTCCGATTCAGACAGACAGGCTGTCTGTTTGCAAAGTAGGAGCCTCCGATTCACAGCGACCCTTTGTTCCCTTCATCTAAGCAGAGGTCTTTTCAGCAGAGAAAGCGATTTTCAATGCCTCGCCGGGCTTGTTGGTTGGACTGGAAAATAATGCTTTGGACTCCTTTCATCTGAAATAAACCACACGCCCCTGTGCCAAGAAAGTCTAGGCTTTTGGCTGTGCTAAAGCATCGACAACTCAGCTGTGCTCAGGCACGCTGCTGTCCCGGTCTGCGCGGGACTTCAGGGCGGGGGTTCGATAACTGTTCCTTCAGCTGCTGCTGGCCCCGGGTTCACCGGGAGAAGTCCAGCTGAGCTCAGATCAGTGCAAACAGGGCTCTGCCACTGGGCTTTCTCCTCTGCATGAGCAACACTTAAGCCAGGTTTCCATCCTAAAGATCCCTTAGACTCCTGAGGAGATGGCTGGGAGGGGGGCAAACGGAGGAGAAAAGCATGATGTGCTCTGCTTTGGGGGGCGCATCCCACCCTCCCACGCTGGACAGGTAGGATAATATCTTTCCAGGAGACAAGCTCTCCCTTTGGCACCGCCAGGCCCAGGAAGCATGTGGGGAAGCAGGAGTCAAGCCCAACTCATGATGGACAAAGACATCTCTGGCCGCTGCCATCCCCTGTGCATCACGGGTGCCAGCTGAGCCTGGGACGTCTCCTGTGGACCAGCACCTTGCTGTTGTGACCCCCCAGCTATGCCAGGAGAGGTTTTGCAGGGGAGCGGGAGGGAAATACTTACTGCAGAGGAAGCAGCACCGGTGGAAGCTCCTCCCGTCGCACTGCACCTCCTCGGCATGGTAGACAGTGCGGCCACAGGCACCGCATTTGTTGCCGCCTCCCCAGTTCGGCATGGTGGCTCTGCGTGTCCAGCCAGGCAGGAGGGGAGAAGGGGAAAGGTTTGTTAACCACGGTGTCCTCCACCACCCCAGCTCGAGGACAGTTGGGGTTACAGGCTCCTTTGAACCAGGTCTGCGAAGTTTGTATATCAGAGCACAAGCCTGTGATTTCGCCAACTGTTTAAAAACGTGACCTTCCACTGTGTGAAAAGTTTTTGTGATCAGATCAACTTCTCAGCCCTTCAGATCCCAGACCAGACTTAAAGGCTTAGGCGGGCTCTCTACAGCTATTTGTAAAAGCAGATGGACTGGCAAGGGGAACAGAGGCCACTACTGCTGAACAGCAAGGAAAACAGAGACACAGTCTCCACAAGACGTGTCCTCCTGTCCCTTCCCGGGGTTTTGAAAGTTACATAAATTGGATATGCATAAATTACAGCTTCATGCACAAGGGCTTTACTGTACCTTGAGTGAACGCCCCCCCAGATGGATATAATTTCAGTTTCTACGCTTCATTAACACTGGGCCTCTCGTCTGACGGAAGCAAACCAATTGTGCCAACAACGGCATTTTGTTTTACTGCAGGGCCTGTCATTTGGGATGCAGTGCAAGCCAAAGCTCACCTCACCGGAGAACCACTTATTAGGGCTGTAGGGACATTCTGAACTCCTTTGAGATCACGCCTGCACTTCAAAGAAGTTTAAAGGGGATTATTTTGTGGGGACTCCACCGCTATTACATGAACTGCACTTTTACCAGGCAGGTATACGAACCAAACCCAACTGCTCAAAGAGCCACAGCTGCTTTAAAATAAAGTAAAACTCCCTCTCATGCATCACTTGCAATGGACACTCAGAAGGCTAGCGGGGAGGGACAGGCACGGTCACCCATCATGTCAAACTACAGCCTTGGGAACAGTCTCCTACATTAAGCCAGAAGCAGCAACCGTCCCATCTCAAGCTGAGCTGCCCCCTCCCCAGCTCCCCTGCGCTCGTGCCATCACCACCAGCAGTTCCCACCCAGCTCGACTGGGAGCTCCTCCTGCTCCTCCCATTAACCGTCCTGGGTTAAAGCACCAAAGCAGAGCACTGCTCGCCACCTTCGGCTTTTCTAGGGCTTTCCTCCTCCCACCACCACCACGAGCTAACATAGCAGTGTTTGTTGAAGGCTCATCTCCCAGTCATCGCTGAACTGCCCTTGACTCGTGACTGACTTAATGACTCGGTTAATGCTGGTTTGCTCCCCTGCAGCTCACCACCAGAGGACCACCTCTCGTAAGCATGGAGGCCAACAGCAGCCAGAGAGAGGGTTATCGATTCAGTGAGTCTAACCCCAGTGGAGCTGCTCAGGCCTCAACAGCCTCCCTGCTCCATACTGACCCTTGTTTCAGACAGGGTTTCTGGGCAAGGACCATGGATTTGCCCACTGGAAGCCCAGAGGGCACCGCCTGCCACCCTACCCCACCGGCAGCACCATTCCCTCCCAGCAGGCTCCCCACAGCAGCACTGCGGTACGGGTCAGCAATCAGGGAGGGAAGGAAGAAATGAATTTGTCGGGAGCTTCTGATTTCTCTCGGCACAACTCACCTTCAGTTACCCTTAGAAGCTCTCTTATGTCAGCCAGACAGGGCAAAGAGACACATGACAGCATCCCCGCACAACGCCCACAACCCGCTGCCTTCAGCCAGCTTTGCCGTTCATCCCTCTGAACCAGAAGCAGAGGACTATCCATCTCTAGTTGTCCCCCTGGCCAACAGAGAGGAACTGGAAGCGCCACCATGACACAGGGAGCCAGAGAAGAGCACTTTGCTTCAAGATCCCCTTTCTCTAAGGGGCTCTCACCGACACGTGGGAGAGACTTCAGTGCAGAGTAAGGGGTCTCGTGGGCACCTGGCTGCTGCCTCGCGCTCCCCAGGCAAGGTAGAGCAGACTTGCAAATCACATCACCGAGCAGCGGTTTTGGCTAAGCCTGAATTAAGTGACCCATCTTGCTAGTGCTGCTAAAACAAGCCTCCTGCCCAAGCAGCCTGACCAGTAGTTCAGCAGTTTTAGGGATGCAGGGAAGGCTGAGTGGTTCCCAAGTAAGACATGCTGCCAAGTAGCTGCTACAAGACCTTTGTCCAAGACAAGCAGACAGCCATTCATGGCATGTGGGAAAATAAGATTAGTTTATTAACCTAAATTGGGGCATCTTAGGTACATTCCTAAGCAAAGGCTTAGGAAACTTCCTCGGAGTGGCTGAGCAGTGCCATTTGCACACTGACACTAATTACTGAGAAATCCCTTTGTTTAATACTTCCACAGGATTAGCACCATTACTGCTCCATGGTTTAGCACTAATACCCTGACTGAGCTCATAAAATTAGTTTTATGACATTTCCCACTTTGCCTTTGTCATTCTTGGCACAACTGTAGAGTCTAAAAATTAAGATTCCATTTCTTTTATTCAAGTGCTTGGCTGTGCTACCGCACAGCAGCTGACATCAATCATGGCAAAGAGCATCCTTAGTTAAAGGGAATATAGGCTGCACAAAGCTTTGGAAAAGGAATGCATGGATGGGGGGGGGAGAGAAAAAAAAAAAAGGAGAAGAGATTCCTTTCCACTTTGTACACTTTCCAAAATGTAAACGGTACTTGGTACAAGAACTACTTCTCTCTTTTCCTCTCACCATCCCCACACTCATGTTCTTTTGTGCATTTACATGAGTCTAAATTATTTTAATCATTTTGTTAGCAAACAATTATTTAGTTTCCATGCACACTAGAGCTGAGGACCTGGATCAGGTTTCCAGCTTTGTCCCAGATTTCCCATGTAATATTGTGCAACACGGGGTGCAACTCCACCCCTTCTTCCCAAGGGAGACTAAGTATCAGACGATCTGGCAACCACTAGCTGACTCAAATCTTCTGATAAGGGCTCTGGGAATTCATTAAATGAAAAGCAAAAAGGAATTGAAGTCAGTACTTCAAGGTGACCTTGGTCTCTTCCACAGAAGATATTTCCATTTATCCTCCCCATAATGTTCCCATGACGGCTTGCGTGGGAAGAACAGCAGTATTTCTTCAATTACCCAACAGCAAGGTCTACCCTGAGGCAGACGGTGCCCAGAAGGCACCTAAGGGGAAAAGGGCTGATGACTTGAAGAAGCTCTGCAAGTAGGACAGCGTATAAGCCTGTCCTCCTGCCCACGAGCCGCTCTCTCAGCGCCACCCTGGAGCTTCATGCTGCCCAGGTCTCCTTTGAGAGCTCCACAGGGAGCAGATTCAGACTTCTAATCCTGCGTTAAGCCCTTCCCTTCTCCCTCAAGACTTTTTGGCTAGTTCAGGCAGGCCTTCAGGGAGCTCAAGAGCAGTAATTAAACATCCAGATGATCTCACTACCAGTACCAACAATTTTGACGTTCGATTGCAGGTTTGTTGGCAGCTACGGTCCTCTAATAAGAACGTCCCGACTTCTGCTAAGCATGTGCCCGGTCAAGAGGAGAGCACGTTATTCGGCTAGCGTTCTCCAAAACGCCAGTGACAAGCCACGGCAACTGCAAAGTCCTTTCCAACCCATTTGTTAACAGCAGGTTTAAATGCAAGAAACCTAAACCAGCCCCAAGACAGACGCTGAGGAATTTCAGGCTATCCAGTTATCCTGGATTGCTTTTTCAGCGACCCGTTGGGGAAGCCAAGTGTGTCGCGGCTCCGTTGGACACAGCCAGCCGAGCAGCGCTAGGGAAACCACAGCTCCGTGCGCTCCTCTCGCCGAAGCCGGGTTGCTCCGCTGCCGCCCACGCACAGCCCGGCAGCTTGCTCTGGCCGAGGGGTCGAGCACCAGTCCCTGCACAAGCGGCCGGGGGCCGTGGTAGCGGGGCACCCCCGGCCCCCCAGCCCTCCTCCCACCCCACCACCGGGGG